GTCTATTTTTGTGCCAGTACCATATTGTTTTTATGACTATAGCTCTGTAGTAGAGCTTAAAATCTGGTATAGTAATCCCCCCAGCATTGCTCTTAGTTCTCAGGGTTGTTTTGGCTATCCGGGGTCTCTTGTGCTTCCATATGAACTTGGGGTTTCAGACCAGGGACGTTCGGCCCTTTACTCAAGCTGGGCTGAGTGTGTCTCTCACCTTTTCTCATCTCATCTCCACCTCGCTTGACCCTCGGCTGTGGGATGATCAGCTGAGTCTGGTGCTTCCTCCTGTTTTTCGTCTCTCACTACTTGCAGCTGGTGTGCAACTTAGTCCCTTTTTCTGCCGAGTCACCCACACTTGTCTTTGTCCTGCTCCTGGAAGGGTCATACGTGTGTTTTGGACAGAGCCTTTCTCTTCATGTCCCTGACAGGCTCTGCAGCACCATTAATAGATCATTGTTTGCTGTTTGCAGGCTGGTGGAGGTATCCCATGGGAAGACAAATTTGGGAAGGTTAGAGAGATGGAGGTGTGACGTCTGTGAGAGAGCAAACCCACGTTAGGAAGGGAGCAGTTAGACCAGAGCTAAGGACACCAATGGGCTATCTTTTAAAGACCCGTGAGTTGCTGTCTGGCAAAGGTGGAGGAGCTCCGAGGGCAGTGGAAGGGAGAGAAGCACTCCAAGGGAGACGGAGGTACCCAGCTGGGAGAAGAGGTGCCACTGTCAGGGGTCGTGAGGCCCAGGGCAGAGCCATGAGGGAGCAGAACGTTTCTTAAGAGTTGTAGTTTCTGAAACAAAATGGCCAGTATCTAATATGCACACAGTGTTATAGAACATGTAGTGGTGATAGTGGGTTAACTTTAGGAAGTGGTGTCTATTCCCCAAAATGCTTTTTTTTTTAAAAAAAAAATTATTTTTATTTTGTGTATATGAGTATTACCTGCATGTAGGTAGGTGCACCTGTGTCATGAAATGCCTGAAGAAGTCAGAAGAGGGCATTGGATACCCTAGAACTGGAGTTACAGAGGATCATTAGCTGCCATGTGGGTGCTGGGAATTGAACCTGGGTCCTCTGTTAGAGCAGTCAGTGCTCTTAACTGCTGAGCCATCTCTCCAGCCCCTAAAAATGCTTTTTAAAAACTTTTACATTGGTGACTGGAGGGATGGCTCAGTAGTTAAAGCACTGAACACTGACTATTTGGTTCCCAGCACCTGCATGGCAGCTAACAGCTGCCCTAGTTCCTAGAGCTCTAGTGCCCTGGTCTGGAATTCCAAGTTTTTTTTTTTAAAAAAAACCTCCTTTACATTTACCGTCCTGCCTAGAAGCTTGCATGACAGTGTCCTGAGACAGGTTCCATAATCACCTAAGCTGGACCAGGACGAGTGCTTTAATTGCAAAACAAAAAGTGTAAATGAGGGAAGGAGAACTGTTATTTGGAGGGAGCCTGTGTGCGTGCAAAGATCAGAAGACAGCTTGAGGGGTCAGTTCTTTCCTTTCACTATGTGGGTCCTGGATATCAAACTCAGGTTGTAAGGGTTGGTGGCAAACACCTTTGCCTGCTGGAACCATCTCTTCAGCTCCCTGTTAATTTTTATTGATGTCTATTTATATAACATGACATAGGGAAACAAGCTCAATAAGTGTAGGAAAAGTAGACCATTGAAAACCACAGAATAAGGAATGATAGTTGGGAGAGAAGGGGATAGATGGGAAGAAGTCATGATGGAAAGATGGGCTGGGCATCTGGAGTGCAGACACCATGGCCAGCTCAGGCATGCTGAGAGAAATGCTTTGCAGGTAATTTGAATCTGAAAGAGAGAGAGGTAATTTGAATCAGAGAGAGAGAGAGAGAGTTAAGATTGGAGGAAAATCGTGTGTGTGTGTGTGTGTGTGTGTGTGTTAGTGTTAAGATTGGAGGAAAATCCAGTAAGGAGCTTTATGAAAAAAGGTCAGCATAGTGTTTTAAAGTTCTACTGGAGTATCTTTGATATAATCATGTTTAGTTTTCAGTGTGTTTCAGTTTTAAATTATAATTTAAGGGTGCATTGGATCTATCTGATGGACATCCTCCATTGAAGTCACCAGAAGGAAAGTCAAGTGTAAACACAACTCCAAGTAAGGTGAGTCTCCTGCAGCGCAACAGACTTCTGACCAGATATGGCCTGCTCTGCTTTCTTGTTACAAGTTTTGTTTTCTTTTGTAACAAGTGTTCTTTAAAGGTTCTTGAAGGTATACCCCCCCCAATTAAGTAGGTGTTTTGGGTTTTTTAAAATATTATTTTTATTTTATGTGTATGAATATTATTGCCTGCATGTATGTGACTGCACCCGTGTCGTGCAGTGCTGCGGAGGTCAGAAGAGGGCTTCGGATTCCCCTGGAACTGGAGTAAAGGACGGTTTGTAGCCGCCATGTGGGTGCTGGGAATCGAACCTGGGTCTTCTGCAAGAGCAATCAGTGCTCTTAATCGCTGAGCCATCTCTCTAGCCCCCTAAGTAGGTGTTTTTAAAAGTTGCTTATTAGGTTTCATTGATAATATTTTGAATTTTGCATCTCAGAACATCGATACTTTATTTACATACTCATTAACAAGGAGGTTTACTTACTTTGCATAAACTCCTGCCTGGAGAACATGAGGTTCCAGAATATAAAATTGTTGTGGTTGAGTTTTGTAGGCTTTTAGATAGGTGACCAGATTTGGAATCATGATGGTTTTTAAATCTTAATGATCTAATTTTGTTAGGATTTATAGGAAAGTGGGTGTACTGTGGTGTTGTGTGTATCTGTATCTGTGATTAAAGATAAGACGTGATTTCAAGAATATGACATAAAGCTAAGTAGAACACTTGAATTCAAGATCAAGATCTTTATTAATAGAGGAGTGAATGGAAATGTGGTGGTCTTCTATGATTGGTTAGAGCACATCACGAATCAGTACTAATTGGTCCTGTGACAGTGGGTTTGGGTCTAGACCTAGTCCATTCAGCCCATGGTCATAAAACACACGTGTGCACTGGTGAGCGGCAGACATTTGTTTTTCATGGTTTGGGGGCCAGAAGTGAAGATCAAGGCACTGACATATTTGGTTCTGGTGTGGGCCAGTCCTTGGTGCCTCCCGTGTCTCCTCACACAGTGGAAGGGGCGGGGGAGCTCTTCAGAGTCTTTTTTATAATGGTGTAGATCTCATTCATGAATGTTCCACTCTCTTGATATAATCACTTCCCAAAGGCCCCACTTAATACCCTTGCCCTCAGATTGGTATTTGAACATAATCATTTTAGGGACATAGCCGAGGAGTCGTCTCAGTTCAGCGTTGTACTCTGTGACTCTTCCTTTGGTTTCCACTCTATCAAGATAGAAAGAGTACACAGCCATCCAGACACAAGGCTTCAGGGGGGTTCAGGGTGGAGCCCTGGGTTTTAGAGAAGATGAAAGTAGTATCTTTTAAGTCAGGTGGACTTCTGGAGCACAGTATGCACTCTGCCATGTGCTTGTGTTTTAAACATCAGGCACAAGTACACCGTTGTTACTTAAGGCTTGATCTTTGATGATTTCCTCCTTCGTAAGCTTAGAAATCCAAAGAAGTTTCATATTCTGCTGGCCAAGAGGTTGCTGTTGCTGTCGTGGCTCCCCCTGAGACGTCTGGATCGCCTTTTCTGATTTAAAAAAAGGAATATTTTATAAGATTTTTTTTTTTCTTGATGCTTATGGGAATCTGTAGCCCTGATGATAGAACAGGTCAGAAGATTTTACAAGTTCCTTCACATACTGGCAAAAGAGCCTATGGGAGGAAGGTTTATTTTCCATGAAAATGTTTGAGGTTAGAGACTAAAATTAAACAATATTCCAAAAATACCTTTCTCAGTAGTTATAGCACTGGGCTATTGAGAAGTCTTCTTTTTAGCTAATGATTTTTTTTTAGAAATAATACTAACCTTCCATGTATATCCTTGAGAAAAAAATTTAAATCTGTTACTCCATTGCTATTAATTATGACAGTCTTATGTGTTTTACATCAGTTAAGAAATGTTGCTATAAATTCCTACGAGCAGTGACTTGTAGGGCTAGTACAGAGCTCTCTGTCCGGGGAGGGAGGGCGGGCACCACACTTCTGCCTGTCTGTTCTCAGTGTAGTCTCTCATAGGTGGCCACGTAAGCTGGGGTTGAAGTAGCTCCTTCAGACATACCTTAGATCCTCGCTAGCTGGCCTGGGGTGGAATCTGTCTTAAAGTCAGCACTTACTTTGGCACTGGGAGTGCAGTTCCTCTGCAGTCAGTCCTGAAGGATTTGGACTTGGGATTCCAGTCCTTCCCCAGCTTTCCTTGCCAGCCACCTCCTATGGTTCCTGGTCAGCCTTTTGAGCCACAGACACTGAGAGTGAGTGTGAGGAGCCCAGAAGAGTTATAGTCAGGATTGGATTCAGCCCAGCTCTGTATGCTTCTGAGGAAAGCCAGGTAAGGTCTTGACAGGTCCCAGCATAGCAGCTAAGGAATTCAGTCAAGGCCCTTCTAGAATGTGCCCAATGCAACATGAGAAAGCCAGGCTGCATGCACTGATCTGATGAGATAATGGCCAGTGCCTAAGGCGGACCAGGAACTTGAGGTGGAGCACTCCTGGGAAAGTGAAGAAGGCTTCAAAACAGCGGCTTCAGAGAGGAATATCATAATTAAGTTTTTCCATTTTAAAGAAATTAGCAGGAATTTTTATCAGTTTGGTAATGAGCTAGTTTATCTTTGAAGGCTTGTATTCTTGTGGTAAGATGTCATTTTGTTCTCATGCTCAGATACCAAGGTATAAAGGACAAGGTAAGAAGACGGCGAGCGGGCAGAAGTCTGGTGACAAGGTAACACGATGAGAGCACAGGAGCAAGCAGCTATGCGAGACAGATCCCTGCTGGCCTGGCTTTAGAGCTTTCTTTGAAACATGACTGCCATCTCTTAGGCCCCGAGAGCTAGACCTAGAAGCACAGACCTGTCACCCAAGCTGCTTGGGAGGCTGAAGGAGGACTACAAGTTCAGGCCAGCTGGGCAACTTAGTGAGATCTTGTCTAAAACCAAAAAGTGAAGAAATGGCTGGGCAGATAGAGCTCAGTGGTAGAGCAGTTGGCCTGGGTGCACTAGGCCCTAGGTTCAGTCGCAGTATAAAAGATGAGATAAAGTTCAGACGAGCGTTGGCGGGCATTCTGGCATAAAACAAGTCATACTGTGCTCTAAAATGATGCCAGTTTTACTTTGAAAAGTCTGGTTTTTGTGACCAAAAAAGTTGAATGTATTTGTTTCCTTTGACTGGCTAATCATGTGTGTGTTATTAGCACTATGGTTTTTACCTGAGGAAGTAGAAGTCACGCTGCTTGGGGGGGTTCCAGGGAAAGCTGCACTCCTTCCCTTGCAGACGTGTTTTCTGTTCTGCTGCTCTTGGCCCGTTGCTCGTGCTGGACTTTGCTCACCTCCCAAGGGGCTGAGGGGCTTTTCCTGCCCAGTGGTCAGGGCCTTGCCTGCTTTCCTTCTCTCTGGAGGTCACGAAAATGGACTAAACTAAGCCAGTAGATTAGCTGCTTCTGAAACCGTGCCTGTTGTTTCTACCTGTATTTAGAATAAAAGTGATTTAGCTTTCAGTTCCAGACAGTCATTAGTCCTGTGCTGAGGCTTAGCTTCTGTGTGCATTTTCCTACTAAGTTGAAAACTTCAAAAATACTTTTTATTTTACTATTATTCTTTTCTTTGCTTTTTTTCTCCTTTTGAGACAGGGTCTCCCTGTAGCTCCAGCTGGCCTGGAACTCACTATGTGGACCAGGCTGGCCTCTAGTTCATGGAGATGTACTGCCTCTGCCTCTGCCTACCAAGTGCTCTGATTAGAGGAGAACTCTACTGCACCCTACCAAAAATACTTTTTAAACACATTTGCTCTCTTAACTGGCTTTAGTTGTGGCGATATGAAAGACACATTCTATTCTCTTGTTCACACTATTTTTCATGCATTATTCAATGATATGTCATCCTACAAGTGTTTTTGCCATAGCAAAAGTTACTGTGAGGGGCCTTCACTCAGGAGGTTCGCCGTCTGACTGGAGAGGTGAGACAGCCTTGAGCAAGGTAGTGATCTGTGGGTTTTGTTTTGTTTTTTAGGAGTCTTTTAATCAGTTTCTTAGCATTTTTAAGTCGGCTGTGTGTTTTAATGAGTTTTATGACCCTAGCAATGTCTTAGGTCTTTAAGCCAAAACATTTTGAATAAATTTGTACATAAAACCAATGCATACTAAGAGATGTGGTTTTCACTCTGTAATGGGAGTGAATAGCTGTGGTGGGACCAGACTGCACACACTCCCCGACTAGAGAGGCGTGGGAGTGTGATGGGCCACGCTCTCCGAGTTCAGGCTGTAAGTCTGGCCCTTCTGTTTCATCATTGACATTTACGTCTACGCTGCCTTCTTGGTCATTTGAAATCCTCCCTGCCTTTCCCTCTTTGGCCTTGTTTCTGAATTGCTCTTATGAACAGCTGGCTCCTCCCAGCCCTGCCCCCTCCCAGCTGCAGAGAGCTAAGGCTTCTCTTCCTCTGCTCTTTTGCTTTGCCTTGTGCACGTCATAGATTTTCAGCTTTCTGAATGTGCTTTTCTCATTATTTAAATTTTTATTTATTTTATGTATATGAGTGTTTTGCCTGTGTGAGTATAAGTGAGTGACCATCACATGTGGCCGAAGAGGCAGAAGAGAGCTTCGGACCCCTGTCAGGAGTTAGAGACGGGTGTTAGCCACTGCATGGTGCTGGGAACCAAACTTGGATCCTCTGCAAGAGCAACCAGTGCCCTTAACCACTGACCTGCCTCTCCAGCCCCATTCCTTAAACATTTTTAACGCTGTAATCCAGATACTAAGTTGCATGTAGTGGTTGAGTTGTACCCTCCAGGAACTGTGTCTGCTGTGAGTGTGAACTCAAGGGTATGTGTGGGTGTGTGGTGCTGGAAGCTTGAGCAGAAACAGGGCCCTCCTTATCTCCTTGCCGTTTGAGCCGAGGAACCCTAAGACAGGCTTGTGGGTACAGGAAGAGACAACTCTTCATGCAGAGATCCAAGACCCTTGTTAATGCTAGGGGCACTTTTAGTCATGTATAATCTTGATGTGGTGATGTATACCTGTAGTCCTAGCACGTGGGAGACAGAGGCAGGAGGATTGCTGCAGGTTTGAGGCAGGCCTGGGTACATAATGAATTCCAGGCCAGCCAGGGCTGCAATACTCTCATAAAACCAAACAGCTGCTGGATGGGGTGGTGTTCTTTTAATCCCAGCATATGGGAGGCAGAGGCAGGCACACCTTTGTGAGTTTGAGTCATTGTCTTTTAAAACTAAACCTTGAATAAAATTAAAAGGTTTTGTTTTTATTAAGATGTAATAGAATGGATAGATTTGGAATACAGAGAGGATAAATACTTAATGGGAAGGCGGCATTTAATGCATTTTGTGTTTGTTTTTGAGACAGGGTCTCCCTATAGTCCCAGCTGACCTGGAACTCACTATGTACACTAGGCTGGCCTTTCTGAGAACCTCCAGCCTCTGTCTCCCAAGTGCTGGGTTTAAAAGCAAGTGCCACCATACCTGGCTCTTTATTTTCCCCCCTAATTTCATTTATTTATTTTGTGTGTATGTATTTGAATGTGTGTATGTGTATAGTCACACATGTGCCACAGAGCGACTCAGTTCTGTCTTATCTACCTGGGTCCTGGGGAATTGAGCTCAGGGCATCAGGTTTGACGGCAGACTCTTTGCCTGCTGAACGATCTCATTGGCTCTAATGATTGAGATTTAGAACTGTCTACTCACATTTCTAAATCACATTTCTGATTATGGTTATTTCACTGTATATCATTTTATTTAATGTATAGAACAGCTAGACACAGTGGTACACCTGCACACCAGCCCTGGAGTGAGTGGAAGCAGGAGGCTGGAGAGCTCAAAGCCAGTCTGGGCTCAGGTAGTGAGTTCAGGTCTGCCTGGGCTTTATAGTGAGACCCTCTCTCAAAAACCCAGCAACAAAACTTATAACAGACCTTATGGAAGGTCTGATAAATTGGGTTTTTACCATTTAGCTGGAAAAACAAAGCAAAAGGTGTTTTTTATTTTTAATATTTAAAATCAGGTGGTTTGTGTGTCCTTCCTCCCTCCGTTTCTGGCAATGCTAGGGTTGGAACTCCTGGCTTCCCAAGTGCTGAGCAATCACTTTACCACTAAAGTACCTCCCAAACTCTAGAATGAGGTACTTTGTATTTTACGTGTATAAGTGTATTGCCTACGTGTGTGTAAGTGCACCCATGCCATGCAGTGCCCACAGAGACTGGGAATCGAACCCAGGTCCTCTGCAAGAGCAGTCAGTACTCTTAACCACTGAGCCATCTTCTCCAGCCCCAGAATGAGGAACTTTTTATCAGGACATTAAACTTAATATGAGAGATTTTTCCTGTTTATTAGTTTTTAAGCCAATGTATATTGAAATGCTTTTGCTTTTTTCTTT